TCCGCTCTGCGATGTCAAGATCTCGGTGATGCATACCATGGGCCATCAGTTGTTATCCTGGAAGTTTTGCTATGCATGCGAATCATGACCGAAAATCACCAAGCCACAGATGCATAAGCTGTTGTAAGCCGAATTATTCCTTTAGGTATCCCAATTTTCTTAGCTAAACCTAAATTTGAAGTTGTACATAAGAGGATACACATGCAGACATGTAATTTGGAAGTTAAAGGTAGTCGATGAGGCAGAAAAATTATGGTAGAGTTAATGCTGCTCTCAAGTCTACCTCCATCGTTGCTGAGAAACCATTTTAAATAACCTCGCTTGTCGGTCGATATTTAAAAATAGTAAGCCCGTTTTGCTTGTCGGCATAAATCCGTTGAGCCTGTGAACTGTCAACCGAGTCAGAGGGGTGCGAGGGCAGGGGTACAAAGTAATTACCCTTTTTTTCTTTATTCTGTCGCGGTTGCGATGGAAGCGTTGCGTAAACAATGAAATTGAATCAGCGGGGCGCCCTTGGCACCCACGCCGTAATCGTTTTGCCTGCTGCTAACCAGGCATGACCTGACAGCCGTGTCATTTTTTAAAAATTGAAATATTAATTAATTGGTCGAACATAATTATGTTGAGGTGAATGATTGGGATGTCACAGTTATCAATATACCCTCATGCTTCATGAAGATGTCAAAGCATTTTACTTAATAGCGCAGCTCAGCATAACCTTTGGCTAACGTAAATGCCCGCCATTTAATTTTGTTTTTCTTGGAAACAGATTTCCCAATTTTGTGAATTTACAGAGTGAAAAGTCTAGAGTTATGAGAGAAGTCGAAAATAATAAGTCTTTCCATTTTTTTAGGATTCCAAAATTATGGATTCGTTTTTGCAATTTTAAAGGGTTCAAATTTTCTACAGACAAAAAGTTTGGCCCTTAATTTTTTTCGAAACTTTTACCAGTTGGTCCGAAAGATCCGTTCAATTGATCAATTTGCAATTTTCCAGGGCTACTGGGCATTTATGTAGGTGTAAAAATTTCTTGTAACATTACCCTCCCAGTCAACTTTAGCAAAGGTATGATCGTATTACCATAACAAGGCAAAAGTATACCTTTTTGGACGATATCGAAATCGATGTTGAGAGTAAATTTTTTTTTAAAGGTCATTGGAGGATTTTGCAGGAGACTTATTTTAGATTCTGAAAATAGCCTTAGATTTTCTCTATAACTATTGGCTCTGCAAGAGACTTATTTCAGATTCTGAAAATAGCCTTAGATTTTCTCTACAACTATTGGTTACGTATATCTCGTTGGTAAAAGTCAAAAGGATCGTTTTTTATCTAAAATCGGATATATTTGCAAGAAACTAATGTAGGGGAAGTTAAGAAAAGGAAATTGAATCTGGATAAGTGGCTATTCGATCCATGTTATAATTTGGCTACAAAAAATTTTCCAAGTCCGTGGACAACATAATTGAAAAAAATTTATTTTATTCTGTTCGTTAGGATTGCTTGTAAACATTTTTGAATTGAAAGAACTGAAAACTAGTGGGACTTGAGCTTCAACATTCTTTGTTTACGCTTCTTTTTACGTGAATGCATTTTGTCAAAAAATCGCCATAAATATACAAAAGACACCATTACGTTTAAAGTATAAGCATAATACAAAAAAATGTAGTAAGCTGAACGAAGAAAAAATATCTTCAAGGTATTGTCACGGGTAACTAAAAGAGTGACGATGTGAACTTCCTGCAGTTCAGTGGGCAAGAAGTAGAAACTTGGTCTAAGAACAATAAAAAATTATTCACTGAAAGCTAAGCTTATCAAATATGGGGAAAAGACTAGGAATATACATTCCGAGAACTGGCACATCGTACTATAATGAGGGGCTAACTACTGAAGGCGAAGGAGTGAATTATCAATCAATTTGGGTTCCCCATTATGGGAACTTGTTGCTTTGAGTATTGACTTACATTAGACAGTCTTCGATTGTCTAAGCAACTTATGTGTTCCAATTATGCTTTGAGCTTAGACAAGTATCCACTAGAGACACACTCAGCGGTTAGAATAAATAAGAACAGCACATGCAGGATGATGCGTGTGTCTCGTGACAGTACCGTTGGTAACTTCTAAAAACATCACGATTTTCTATTCTCAAGCAGCCGCGAAGAACCGATGTACTACCACACAATTACAAAGAGGTAAGATATTAAAGGTAAATACAAAAATAGTAGCCAGCAGTATGCTCTTTACTTGGAAAAAACTTTTATCTACGCAGGGTGACTTATAACTACGTGGTGACCCGAACATATTTTTTTAAATAAACTTTTTTTAAGTTTTGGATACTGCTTTCCGAAGAAATTCAATATAACGTACTAGAAGATTTTGTTTTCAAATTGTTGATATCGCTAGAGTTAGTCTAGTCATATTAGACGAAAATATCCCGGATTTGCCAAATAATTGCAACGTTTGGTTTCATTGATGCAAGTTGTTCAAGGTATTTAAAACATGGACGCATAAAATGGGCATTTGTGCGGAAAAACTTTTTATTCGACAACAAAGAATGAGAAAACGCGATTTTTGCGATTCAAACGAAAGTGGAACGTAAAAAGGTCTTCAAATTAGTCTTTTAGGTATTTACGAGACCTGCAAACAGAGACTACACATTAAAATATTCGACTAATAGCAAAAAAAGTTATGGCCGTAAACCGAGGCAAAATGCAGGATTGGAACTTGTTGATAATGCCACGATAGTCTCTAGCAGATACTTCAAATTATTCAGATCCTATTAAGTATAAACCACAACAAAATTGGAGTAGATTGGTCAAGTAGTTTTTGAGAATTTTTAATTATTTATCCCTTAACACCTTTCTTCCGGCCATCACTATTTGTTTATTGAGCAATATACAGGGTTCGCTCAATGGGCATTTTATAGCAAAATATACTAGTGTAGTAGTACCTTGTTAATTTTTTCCGAAAAACAAAGGACTACGTTTTTGTCTTCCAAACAAATTCAAACATTTTTTATTTACGAGTAATGGAATAGATGCGCTACGATATTCGGAAAACGTACGTTATTATAAACATTTTAAATCAAACCGGATGTGTCTGTCAAATTTTATTGTGAAAAAAATGGTTTTCAAGATTTCTTCATACATATGTATACAGAGCTGACATTTTTACAGGGTCACAGTTCATAAAAAAAATTATTCCATACTGAAATGCACTGAACTGCTTATAAGGTTAGCACACAAACTGAAGATACAATTATGTTTCAAATCATCTTTGAATGTAGCATAATGCTAAATGACTACATTATTGATGACCCCATGACTTTGTCAAATAAGTAGGTCATGTAGTCCAGTTTGTTTACGACGAAATATAATTCGCTCGACCTTTTTTCTAAAAGTACTAATATATTATGTTTCTTTTCGAAATCTCGTACGATTAAAATTACTGCGAGTTCAAAATGTTGGAAAATAAACTCGAGAAATCGAAAAAACAGACAAATATCAACACATTGTAGCGAACTGACTGTACTTTTGTTATACATAGACAATGTAAGCTAGCAAACAGGAAACCAGCAGTTCACGTATATACATAGCTTTTATATTACTTTGATAAAATTTTAGAACCACTATGTCGAATCACAGCAGTTTTTTAAAACGTACTATATATCTTAGATGAGTAAATTATTAATCAACAATAACGAAATACATCCGAAAGTTTGACTGTGATAATACGCTCAAGTTTTCGATACGCCTAAAAGTTAGGTACCCCTTGCAGCTGCTGAGGATGTTCATAAAATTGCTCGCTCATTTTATCAACAGCGTAGACATTTTTCTTGCATAGCATTATTTTTCTATTAAGCATAAAGCAATGGTAATCTTCCTTTTCAAAGCAATGCCATTTCAGAAGGAACGCTTGGGAAATTTTACTTGCCCAAAAACTCACCGTCTTACGTGGCCGCTAAATCAAAGATTCTTCCAGTTTATTCAAATTCTTCAAATGCTGTTAACGATTCTTTGTGGATATAAATGTATACGAATGGAATAGATGACATAACTACCGGCATTCGAGCTGCGTATCTAATACGAGAGATGTCTTTTAAGTTTTGCATATAGAAACATAGTAGGCCGCGCGGATCGAACGTCAGTACTGAATCTTAACCTCACTCTTTAGTAAACTTAAATTCAAAGTTTCACAACAATATGTGCGGTGTTCTCACTACAGTGCATTTTTAAGTGTCACCAAGTCATTAGAAAAATGGAACTCAATCGAGAACATTTTCGCGCCATAATTTATTACAACTTTCAGAGTCAATGATCGCAACAAGAATGCCTTGCTGAGTTATTGTCTGTTTTCGGCAACGAAGCGCCACATCAGTCTACAATTTCCCGTTGGTATGGGGAATTCAAACGTGGACGGGTGAGTCGTAGCTTCCGATTCCTGGGTGGGTGCACCAAAAACGGCAGTTACCCAGGAAAACGTCGATGCTGTGCGCAAACTCATCATTGAAGATAGACATATGACATATCGCGAGATTGAGGCGTCCTTGAAGATCTCAAAGACCTCAATTCAAAAAATTTTACATCAAGAATTAGGAGTAAGAAAATAAGTTTCTCGTTGGATACCACACCTGTTGACTGATGAGCAAAAAGCAGCCAGGGTTAATTGGTGTCAAAAAACGCTTGTCCGTTTCAATTCCGGAAACTCAAAAAATGTGTACAGCATTGCTAGTGGTGATGAATCGTGGATTTACTGTTATGAACCAGAAAATAAACGACAGTCGGCTGTTCATGTGTTCCAAGGTGAAGAAAAGCCAACAAGTGTAATCCGTTCTCGAAGTGTTTCGAAAAAGATAGTCGCGACATTTGCATCAAAAGCGGGTCATATTGCAACAATTTCTCTTAATGAGCAAAGAACTGTTACTTCGGATTGGTATACCACCATTTGTTTGCCAAAAGTCATCACCGAGCTTCGAAAAATCAACCCCGAAAGAAGAATCATCCTCCACCAAGACAATGCAAGCTCGCACACAGCTCAAAAAACAAGGCAGTATTTAAGGGAAGAAAACGTGGAATTATTGGACTATCTTCCATATAGTCCCGATCTAAGTCCTAACAATTTCTTTACTTTCCCGAAAATTAAAAACAGACTGCGTGGTCAAAGGTTCTAGTCACCAGAAGAAGCAGTTGAGTCATCCAAAAATGCCGTTTTGGATCTGCCAGCAAACGAGTCGAATAAGTGCTTCGAAAATTGGTTCGAGCGCATGCAGATGTGTATTAATCTTCGTGGAGAATACTTCGAAAAACAATAAAGTCATTTAAAACTATCTACCGCGTTGTTTAATTTCCATTTGCAAAACTTAAATACATCCCTCGTACCTAATATGTTTTTGAATGACCTCCAAATATCCTATTTCAGCCCGCCCTAAAGAGCCTGATTAACATGATCTAGGCACGAATGTACCCGAAGTACCGTCCAGCAACGCAGAACCATTTAAGGGTGGCGGCGCTTGCCGCGATCCGCGCAGCGTCGACGTCGCGCGTCGACCGGGAACAGAGCGGGAACAGCGGGAACACATCCTCCTCCCATCCTTCTTTTATCCAGTTTCGGCGCGAACCTCCCCATACCAGGATCACGTCACCGCGCTTCCTGCTCTCCCCTCTAGGGTCGCAACCGGTGCCGTAGCTGATCGTCTGCGATCTGTCACAACACGATAATAAACATAAACAGCTGTAATAAAACAGTGGAGTGAATCACGAGTGGATGATGCTAGTTATGTGAACTGTGAAGTTTGATGACAGTTTATCCAGGAGGTCTTAGAATGGGGGTGACTTTCACTTGGAAAGCGGAGTCTTTGGTCCTCCTTTTCATCGTCTTGACTGGTTAGATGATTAAATTATTTCATTATATCAAATCACTTATCAGTTTTAACGCGACGCGTTGAACCGAAATTACCCGAGGACATTTGGTATTAATGTTGATACTTCTGGAGACTTAGTCATTTTTATTTGAATACTTGATGTGAGGTTGTTGTTCTAGTGATATTTCCATATTTGTTTCTTACCATACGTTTCCATTAAGCATTTGAAGATTAGGACGTCTCGGGAATGATTGAAGCTTTAAATGTTTTATGTTCAGTAAAACAAGAAGTGTTCGATCTGTGAATGTCTCAAACATACACAGGTGTTATAAAACATTGCAGTGGATAATGCCACTTATATAAGCTGTAAGGTCTGTCGATAGCCCATCAAAGAGCTTTCAGAACATAAAGCTATTGAATACATAATATCTAGTGTATGTAAGTTTCACTTTATCGAAACTAGTTCATTTGAGGTTTTTCTTCTGACATTATAAGTTGCATGATGATTTTTATCTTTCCGTTGCCAGATTTTTAAAATTTTTTGAGTTGCAAATGGTGACTCTAAGAATATTGCAATCTTTGTAAATCAGCTAAATCATAAAGACAGGTTTCAACATAACACATAATAGGAAATTTGTGCCGTACCTTCTCGTCTAAGATCTATCACATCACGAACATAAACATCAACAGCTGTTATAAAACAGTGGAGTGAATCAAAAGTAGATGATGTGAAATCTGAAGTTTGATGGCAGTTTATCCAGGAGGCTTTTGAACGGAGGTGACTTTCATTTGGAAGGCGGAGTCTTTGGCCGTCCTATTCATCGTCTTGAATTGTTAGACAATTATATTATTTCATTTAAATAATGAGAATAATAATAATAATTTTGGGTTAACCAAAAGGCCGAGTTCATATTGCGTGCTCTTCCACTTAACCTTACAAAGATAAAAAAAAGTACAAATAAAATAATAAAAATAGAAACTATGAGGTAAATGTTTCACTATGTCAACTAATAGATAAAAATTAAATAAATAAACAATAGAATTTCATTCTTGCCGTTTGTTTAAAAATATAAGATTTTTCAATTGCCTTCTTTAATGAGAGTTCTCTCAACCCCACAAACTCTTGAGGCATGTTGTTACATACCTTCATCTAAAGTCTAGGATGAGTGATAGTCTAATCATACTAGCAAATTTCCCCGAAATAATTGTAATGTCAAACACACACGCTATATATGTATGTACCGAACATGAACAGCAACTGCCGGCGTCGGCGAGCCGGCGATACCCCGAGCCTGAGCTGTATCCTGTCAAATCCTGCACTTGTTGTATGTGTTGAATGTCGCTGCATCTTTGTTGTGCCGGGGCCTAAATGGACTACGAATAGGGTATAATAGTGTGTATAAAGGAACCACATAAAACAAACTCTCTGACGACGAACTTGTCAGAACTTTCATTGGATATAGAATAATATGTTCGTACGGTAGGTACTGCAGTAGAAAGTCAGAGTTTTTCTCGAATTTGAATCGTTAGACGAGTCTTTTCAAATCTTACATGTTTGCTTTAAAACATTTTTCCATTATGTATGCGTTGAATCATAACTTACAATCTTTATCGATACGACTATATTGCATATATTTATATGTAGTGCAGCTTCTACCTTTTCCATTCACTCCATGCATATAGAGCTTTCCATTCGGGGACTCCATATTTTCAACTCAACTATATTGACGAACGCGGTACGCCGACGAGACGCAAGTAGCTGTGGTTATGGTATTGGCGTAAGTACATTTTTCCTCATTCAAGAAGCTCTATTTGTCTACAAAGCCACTAAATTTTCTTTATATATCGTACGCCACAAGAGGATCCTTGAAAGAAGACTTGGGCAAAAGATGAGCACTCAATTCCCAAAAAGTACATATTTCCTCGGTTTATATACCGGATAAAAAGGATGTAGTAGCAAGTGTCCTCTTGTATCTGAATTTATTTCAACTTTTGAGAGGCGTCGGGAGCAGATGCGCTTTCCATGGAGTTCGCTTTAGCAGCTAAGTGGCTGCTGGAAAGGTCCTTTCTCGGTTTATACAGACGACAAGTAGGTCATATTATTCAGGCGTATCCCCATCAATTTTCCTCAAATCTGAAATTTTATAGAATTCTCGATGAAGTGATATTTTAAGCATTCAATATCTGTAAGCTCTTTATACTCAAATGTGAGACTCAAAGGGGGGAGAGAAGAGGGAAAAATCACGAAATATTATAATATGAAGGGGAGGGGGTTAGTGAGATCAATCCTAAAATATTGTCAAAATTAGAAAGATTCAATAGATTCCACCAAGAAACTTCATTCATACGTTTTCGAAGTCGCTAATAACGAATGTAATATCAATTTGTGTCACACCACAATAGCGGATCCGATATGGCGGCCATGCTGCTATCTGAAATAAAGCGGATTCTAATGGACGCTTTTTCCAAAAACTTTTTGAATTCAATATTTTTTAATGAAATACAGAAAAATTATGAATCAAATATTGTCGTTTCGTGTGGTGTATCGATTGGCAAGTAATACAATCCCATGCATTTACTACATATCAGTATAGCTGCACTATTCGATTGTACACGTTTTGTGACGAGCATTGTGACATCTGAATGTTACAGAGCATACAGAGCCATCTAAGTGGAACTTATGTTGTCAAGAGATAAGTTATGACTGTGAACGATATTCGAAGTCACATGCAATAATTTATTTTTGGACTTTTTGCCAGGTTTGTCAGAGTCGATATGGCAATGATAGTGAGGGCACAATGCTCGGTGAAACCGTTACGGCGATAAACACAGAGAGTAGGCACTCGGGTGGCAGCTATTTCTATATCAAAGTTTCAAGGGGAAATTTAAGATGTATGAAACATACGTTCAATTACTGCGGTTTCAAACGTATAAATATACTCACGTCCAAATATTGCGGGATACCGTCCCTCACGCCCTACAATCCCCAACCACCCATTTTGATAGCCTTAGAAAATTTTACTTGAGAATGATCAGGGCCTCATTATTATTTTTGTTCCGCCATTTGCCCCAAACTCAGTTGCCACTGGACTGATTATAAAAAACTACAAAGCTCTTTCGTACTTGGCGTAGTAGTAACCTTTTGTTAATGTATTCAAATCCGTGTGGTACTTTCCAAGTTATAGGCGGGCTAATGATTATCGGAGAAATTGACAGACAGAGTGACCGAAAGACAGACCAAAAGACAGACCTCCAGTGGCGTGGAAAGTAAAACAAGTAAGTCTTTTGCAAATGCATACACCTTCAAAAACAATGTTCTCACCTAAGTCTGATAAGTGTTTGGATTGATCGAACAAATGTTCTCATACTGGAAAATTCTTGGAAGCTGAACGCCCCCGGAATTTATTGATGCTCAAACACGGGTAAAAACGAAATTTCTGCCGCAAGCTTAATTTAGATAATTCTGATTTGGCAATTTATTACGAAGGTGTTCTGGAGCTATAATGTTTCTAAAAGTACGCATTAATAATGGTAGGGATACAGGTGGAACAAAAGTTCATTTCCACTTTTTGTTCTGCGTTGCTTCTGGATTAGAAATGTGGAACATTGTTTTGCGCTCCAAAGGGACTTCACTTGAGATACTTTACTACAAGTTAAGGTGAACCAATGAAAACAAGGTACAGGGTTCAAGGATATACTGGGTGTTAAACTATAGAGGAAGGGAGTGTTGCCTCTGAATATAAACTTATCTAATAGAACTATTCATATTATACAATTGAATAATGTCTCACAAGATGAATTTATTTCAAAATGGAATGCCGTTCATATTCGAACAGACCCTTTAAAAGAAGAAGACTGGGTTCTTATTATCAGTTTGTTGAGCCGTTTGGGTATTCAAGTTGGACATCTGCTATCTTGATAGCTGGAGTAACAGTAGATCAAAATTCTTGATCCGTATCAAAACGGACCAATAAGATATCTCCCAAACTAGCGAAAAAATATACGATCTGTGTAAGATCTCTATCTCTATATTAAATCAAACCCTATGATCCGAATCAACAATGACCAATAAATTGAAGACCATTTTAGAAAAAAGGGTGTCTTTAAAAATGCATCAACGTGTCGATTGCCGTCTAATGTAATTTGCAGATATATGTATCACTGTTTGGCACACATCCTCTGTGTGTGCGCGAAATTTATGCAAAGTGGTCGCAATCATTTTTTTAATAGAAGTATTTCTGTATGCATATAACGTATGTAAGTTTCTAGGGGAAAAAATAGAGCACAGGAAAATCTTTATTATTTTTGAAATCAGAACTGCCTTGTAAGTTCAGTAACACGACTGACCGCTGCTACCACATCAAATGTTATTTAGGGTGATTCAACGTCATGAAGATTATGTTAATCAATGCATAAACACCGTATTCACACCGATATTTGTTATGCGCATGAAAGAAATCCGTGCTTGTTGAATGCAGATTAAGTTCGCTCCTGGGTGGGTGTTTAATTTTAAGGTTTTTTTATTAGCTAACAGAATAAGTACAGCAGCAGGTAATTTTGTTTTCTCTATATT